AGGTACAAATATGTACCATTTGTAAAGGTACTGCCCCAGTGACAGCTCCTGTACCTTTATTTCTGAAATTGCAGAGATTTGGGTGTTGCCATCCACATCCATCCACCCATCTATCCACTTCCATCCACATCCATTCATCTAGGTCACAGGTGTCAAACTCAGTTCCAAAAGGGCCGCAGCTCTGCACAGTTTAGTTCCAACCCTAATTAAACACACCTGATCAAACTAATTGAGTCCTTCAGGCTTGTTCGAAACCTACAGGTAAGTGTGTTGGAGCAGGGTTGGAACTAAACTGTGTAGTGCTTCGACCCTCCAGGAATTGAGTTTGACACCCCTGGGTGTTCCCAGGCAAGCCGAGAGACATAGGCTGTTTCTCAATTCCAAGAACGCAGAGAACGGACTTGTGTTCTTGTGGAGACCAGTCTTGCCAGGTGTCCTCGGAAGAACGAACTCAGGAGACCGCGAGGGCAGAGAATGCGTCCTTTGAGAAATGGGATGCTGCGTTCTTCCTGATGGTCACGTGACCTTCACGCGTTTTAAATAGTAAATTATTTAAACATTACAGCATTCATACAACGATTTATTGTTTCCCCCCTTATCAACATATATACTTTGCATAAAAACATTATAAATATACTCTGCACAATTTAAATAAAACAGATTTTAATACGAATTTCAGCAAACAAACAACCCTTAATGTGTTTATTCCTTTATTAAGATGTCCATGGTAATGTTTAATGATCTCTCTGAACTTTAATAATAAATCTAAATAAAATGCTGCGCTTCCCACCTCCAGTCGCAATGACTTCTGGGACTTCCAGAGCGAGTTTAGTGCTCAAGTCTGCATCAGTGCGTCCTCGATATCAAGATCACATCCGGGAAGTTTCACGCGTCCTCCGTACTTGCGGTCTTGAGTATTGGAACTGAACTTAGGCAGCTGATGATGACGTTGCACGAGAACACGAGGATGCAAGACCGATGAAGAACGCATATTGAGAAACAGCCACTGTGATTGGACATATCCAGAACGCCTCAATATGAGGGCATTCAGGAGGCATCCGAAACAGATGCCCGAGCCATCTCAGCTCTCTCCATGTGTAGGAGCAGCAGTCCTACTCTGTGTTCCTCCCTGGAGACACAGCTCCTCACTTTAACTCTAAGAACGTGCCCTGTCACCATGTGAAGGACACTTATTTTGGTTACTTGTATCCAAGATCTTGTCCTTTTGGTCATGGGCTAAATCTCATGACTATAGGTGAAAGTAGGAATGTAGATTACTCAATAAGACAAGAGCTTTGGCTCTCCTGAGCTTCTTCTTTACCACAACAGACCAATAAATTGACCACATTACTGCTGCTGATCCTCCTGTCAATTTCAAGTTCCATCTCTCCCTCACTCTTGAACAAAACTCCAAGATACTTGAATTCCTCCACCTGGGGCAAGGACTATACTCCAACATAGAAAAATGACAAGCCACCTTTTCCTGGTCGAGCCACATGGCCTCAAAATTGGACGTGCCAATTTTCATCCCTGCTGCATTACACCCAACAGCAAACTGTCACAGAGCATGTTGAAGGTCAAGGTCCATTTAAGCCGACAGTACAACATCATCAGACAACATCATCTGCAAAAGGCAGAGATGAAATCCTGTGTTCCCTAAATCAAACCCCTTCTGGTCCAAGGCTGTACTTAGAAATTCTGTCCATAAAAAAAATATTAAAGAGCCCATATTATACATGAAATAGGGTCATATCTTGGTTGTAATGGTCTCCAACAACAGTCTAATATGCATGCAAGGTCAAAAAACACTTTCATGGTCTTATAGTCTGCATTTATTTTTACCTAATTATCCCAGCGACTCCCGTATGAATCGTCCAGTGATTTATTTGTTCCCAAACCCCTCCTTAGCGCGAAGCTAATCTGCGCTGATTGGACCGATGACAGTCTGTTGCGATTGGTCGACTGCCTTCAGTCCGAGAGTGAAATGCACACAAACACACATATTGCCCTCGTCCTTGCGCGCACACACCCGCCAGGTTTTAGCCTGAACCCGACCGCTCCCGCTTATATTAAGAATTTGTTGTCCCGGTGCCCGACCCGCCCTGTTTTCTGCCCGTCGCGCCCGATACCGCTATAGAGCGGGGGAGAACATAACCGAAAATCACCCAGCTAAACAGTACAGACAGCCAAGCTGTCTGTATAAACACACACACAAGCACCAAGCAGACACACAGGTAAAGCTCTCTCCTTCTCTCTCATTCGCATAGCAATATCTGCGATATTGCTAGACAGCCCGCTCCCGTCCCAAATTAAACCCGTTACCGACCGCTCCCGCGATTTATTATTCCCGCGCCGCAGTAATCTGGTCGGGTCCCGCGGTGGGAATGCAGACCTCTACCACGGAGCTCCGTATACAAAGCAACACGCGTCGCGTTTTTAACGTGGCTTTGCACGCGATAAGAGAATATAGCCAGTTAACCTGATACAGTACACGCGGTTACAAGTAACAAATCACAACTAAACACATTTGCAAGCTAGAGTAAATGAGGCAACAACTTTAATCGCACATACTTACACTTGAGAAATGGAGGAAGAAACCCATCCTGACGTCCATCAGTAAGTTACTCTTTACTGATCCTTCCTTTAACAAACGCAGATGAAGTATTCTTTGTAGCATGTAGTTTGCAGAAGTTTCCAGTAGTTTCCAACTGCTTGGCTATAATGCTGAGGTTTCATCTTTGGGTAGAGACTCGATAATATCCATCTGCAGTGTGACTTCAATCGACCGGCATGTTTGTGTGCGTGTGTTTGTGGGTGTGTGTGTGTGTCTGCGTTTCTGCGTCAGAGGGCGGGGCCTCAGGTTTGAAATCTCCCGGGTTTGCGCGTGCACGTGAATAACTTGGTTTCGTTCGTACGTCATGGCGAAACACCTAATGACTCGGTATCAAGGCGACTCGTTTGAAGCTCTATGAGTCGACTCTTTTATAGATGAATCAACCATTTTAAACACTGTAATCTTACAGATTTAAACCTTAGCTGGATACTTCACTTCACTTATAGCTGTGTTACACACTACATGGAGGGGAATTTTCAAAAACCCATAATATGGGCTCTTTAACAGAACCGCTGACAAAGAGCAGCCCTTCCAGAGTCCAACATGCACAAGGAACAAGTCTGAGTTTTGCCTGCAATGCGAACCAAACTCATGCTCTGGTCATACAGAGAGACTTGAAGCCTATAACAGATCGCATCCGACCCTGTATACCCAGAACACCTTCCAGAGAATGCCACGAGGGACACAGTCGAAAGCTTTTTACAAGTTCACAATGCATGTGGACTGGACAGGCAAACTCTAACGAACCCTTGAGCATAGAGGGTACAAAGTATGTCCAATGTTTGTGGCCCGGACAAAAACTGCATTGTTCCTCCTGGTTCAACTATTGGCCAGATTCTGCTCTCCATTACTTTTCATAGATTTTTCCAAGGAAGCTGAGAAGTGTTTGAAAACTCCACAGTGGCACAGCAGTGCTTGTATATCCCATAGAATGACCCACCATAGAAATAAGAACTATAAACTTATATATAGAAGCACTGTTCAGCTGAAATTAAACTGAATAAAATTAAAAGTGGAACTGAATTAAACTCGCCTGATACAGTAGGCTACTTGCTCAGTAAGTATCGTCATGAAAATAAATGTCTGATGAATGTCTTGCCTTTAGCTGCCACATGATGGCGACAGATTACTCGTACTGACCCGACTTTCAGATGAAGCTTTGTGTGAGCAAATAAATATGGATTTACAACTTTGGTATCAAGTTATATACACTCTTCAGATTTCATCATTATGTGATGTTAATGTGTTAACAAATATTATATAACAAAAATATAACACAAATATGGACTGACTGTATAACAGCTTGCTAATCAATCAATCAATCAATCAATCAATCAATCAATCAATCAATCAATCAAATGTATATCTAAAGAGATAATAGGTTAACTATTACCTTTACTATTATGAATGTTTTTTTTAATTTATTGATTGTATTAATGTATGACTTTCTAATTGTAAATTAAATATAGCCAGTTTTAAAATAATATAAATTTATTCTTGAAATAAATAACGTATTGATTGTGAGTTCGAAAAGAAAACTGATTACGTATCAATTTTGCTAATACATTAGTAATGTTAATTAGTAATATATGCAATTATATTTCAATAATAATAAAAAATACATTTTATTTAAGGTGCCTTTCAAACCACTCAAGGTCACCATACATAAAAGGCAATAAATAAAAAAAGATGATAGTGTGTATATGTATAACCATCTTTTTAGTGCACGAATAAATAAATAAAATAATAATAATAGTAATAATAACTAAAGGTGATGCAGTAGCGCAGTAGGTAATACTGTCGCCTCACAGCAAGAAGGTCGCTGGTTCAAGCCTCAGCTGGGTCAGTTGGCGTTTCTGTGTGGAGTTTGCATGTTCTGTGGTACAGGTGAATTGGGTAGGCTAAATTGTCTGTAGTGTATGGGTTTGAACAAGTGTGTGTGTGGATGTTTCCCAGAGATGGGTTGCGGCTGGAAGAGCATCCGCTGCGTACAAACGTGCTAGATAAGTTGGCGGTTCATTCTGCTGTGGCGACCCTGGATTAATATAGGGATTAAGTCAAAAAGAAAATTAATGAATTAATAATAATAATTATTATTATTAATAAGTATTATTAATAATATTTTCAACACATAATAATAATATCATCATCCTCATCATTATCATCCTCATCCTCATCCTCATCATCATCATCTAATTAATAAAACTCTATCCCACACATCAACAAGCCAACCTTGCATGAAGCAGTTCATGAAAGTTCATCTTTGCTCTGCTTGGCATGCGCGCATCAGACAAAGTAGTAGTGCGCATGCGTGAAATCCACACGCACAGTTCAAGCTTTGTTTGGAAAGTGACGAAGAAAGCAGCGCAGCGCAGCGCAGTACTCGGCTCAGTAGCCGAAGCGTCACGATCGACTCTGTTTCTGACAGTTCAGTACACTTTTGTGCGTTTGTTGACCATTTTAAGCAAACATACTATGCTCAAGATGACAGCGACTTTGTTTTTATTAACAAGAAGGTAGCAAATACCGATCATGACCGAAGTGTCAAGTTGTTTGGGTGCAAAGCAGCTAATGACAATCAACAGACGAGTCCAGTTCTGGTGTTCACACACGGATCCCACAAACCCCGAACTCACTTGTGGATCTATCGAGCTCCTTTAATCGTTAAACGCCATGGAAAGCATCGGAAAGTACGAGTTCAACAGGAAAGACTTGATCGGACATGGCGCATTTGCTGTGGTGTTCAAAGGAAGACACAAACAGGTAACGCTAAGAACAATCATATTGTGTGTATTTAAATCATTTACAGAAATGTCATCACGTAAAACGAACTCTTTGTTCACAGAAACATAATTTTGAAGTCGCGGTGAAATGCATTAACAGGAAAAATCTCGCCAAATCACAGTCACTCCTAGGAAAGGAAATCAAAATATTAAAGGTGGGTTTCCTATAGTTACGCTACTTGCGTTTGTGTATGCTGCTTTGTTATAGTTTGAATATATAAATGATTCAGCGATACGACTTGTGTATACATTCAAGCTTTTCTCCCTATTTTAAAGACGTATGTCCAAAACAATACTACGTATTAAATATGCTACTGATATAATTGTTGGTGACGCGTTTAGCAATTTTCGACATCCGTGTTGTGTTTGTGAGAATGGCTCGCTAGACACAGTGAACCCGACGCTTGTGTTTGTGCCTTTGCCAGGAGCTGAAACATGAGAATATTGTCAGTTTGCTGGACTTTCAGGTATGTAGCTTCTAACTGTATGCTATAACTCTGCTGTATCGATTCGTATGTCTTGAGTATAAGTCTGTTGTGTTATTTTAAGTGGTTCTTATTATCTATAAAGACAGCTTTTTTCCATGTTGCCATAGCTATTTATAACTCTAATATCGCATGGCTCGGTGTTGACATTATGGGTGCAGTTCTCGTCATCTGATTGGTTAGGCTTTAATCCCCGCCCATGACGTCACGCACTGTTGACTATTTATTAATCATGGCGAACAGATTTGGACTTTATATGACTCACCTTAAGTAATGATTTCTTGTTACATTCTCTTGCATCAGAAAGTGTAACATCTGCCTATGAATCCAAAATAGACGGCAATGAAATCTCAAATGTCTTTTGTGGATGAAGGAAAATAATATAATAAAACTATTGGCAGATTTCTGTTATGCCCGTTGAAGCACACATCTGCCACCTGCATGCATGTATTAGCAGCACCTGCCTGCTCAGCACACCAGTTTAACCGCTTGTCTCCATCATTTGCATACAGAACAGACGTTGTCTAATGTATCAGTACATCCTAATGAACAGAGGACAGGACTGCAGGCAGTCAGCCTTATCTGATGACAGGTGGTTGTCTCAGGTGTGGATAGATAGATTAAGGAGCTCAATTCAGTGGGTTACACATTCAGTCCTATGGTATTATGCCCTTGAGCAAGTATAGCAGGTTTCTAGGGTTAGCGGAGGACAATATAAAATTAGAAGGAATATTAATGTGATCAAAATGTATTAAATTGAGTATATATTTAAAAAAAAAACAAAATTTTGTTTATATATATATATATATATATATATATATATATATATATATATATATATATATATATATATATATATATGACAAATCTGTACATTTATATTAGACATTTTTTCCCAGAAAATGAAAGTTGCTTAGAATAACTAGTTTATTATTATTATTATTATTATTATTATTATTATTATTATTATTATTATTATTATTAACGCTATTGAAGTTTCAATGTTGGTATGTTGTTGTCAAAACTAATGTAAATCACAAACCTTTTTTGCTTTTAATGACAGTATACAGTGTTTAGGTAAAACATAACTATCATTTAGGTGACGCAGTGGTGCAGTAGGTAGTGCTGTCGCCTCAAAGCAAGAAGGTTGCTGGTTCGAGCATCGGCTGGGTCAGTTAGCGTTTCTGTGTGGAGTTTGCATGTTCTCACTGTGTTTCCGTGGGTTTCCTCCGTGTGCTCCGGTGTTCCCCACAGTCCAAAGACATGTGGTACAGGTGAATTGGGCTGGCTAAATTGTCCGTAGTGTATGTGTGTTTTATTTAGAGATCTTTGTGTATGCATTCACTTTTATAGACATGTACAAGTACTTTCGCAAACCGTAACCACTAGTCTCCCCTCCATTTTCAAAAGTCTCTGTAGTTGCCTTGACAACACAAACACTGCAGGCACCTCAACAGAAACCCCGCCTCTGCTTTCATTTGATTGGAGAATGAAAAAGACCCGACTGACGTTGCGTGATTTTTCACTCAGTTCACTTTTTTTACTGTTAAAACGCAGACAGTTAAAACAATAGGCACGGAGGGTGCACAAGCAGCGTGCAAAACTTTATCATTAAATCATTAAAATCATCATATAATCATAAACAAAGGGCTCCTTGCAACGCAAAAAGCGAGTTTGGTGTGATCCAATCTAAGTGCGCAGATGCATAGTTTTTTTTTCTTTTCTTTATAAAATAACATTGACAACTACAATTTAGTCCACTGAACAATACAGCCATTTTTATAGATGAATGAGTGCATTTACATGAACACCAATAATCAGATTTTATTTTGATATTAAGACAACACTCTGAGTAAGAGTCTACCATGCAAACAGCGATTTTTGATTAATTCAATTTGGATTAGGTCATAATCAAACCAAACAGAAATCAGATTAAGACATGTGGAGTATGCCTGCATTATTAAAGTGCAGTACAGACATGTAACCACCTTAATCAAACTATTACCATCGTGTAGGATTTTCACCGTATTTTGTGACAGGATATTTCTTACACACACAGCTGTTTGACACTATTCTCTGCACCTACCGAGTCAGTGAAGGACCACAGACACCTGCATCAGCGGTGCGTGCGGTATCAAATTCCATTAAAACAACACTCTTCCAGCAGTTCGTAGTTGCATCCAATATTTTGTTTGTCACGGGGGGCATGCATGAAATGTTCCTGAATGCAAGTGAAAGTGCCAAACTGCAGTTGAAGTTAACAAATCAAAAGTGAAAGACCCGAAATTACATGACACTCCGCAGGAAATGTTAAAAGCTTGGTGATGCAATGACGTTAACCAAATTATGTGCTGTAACATGCAAAACGGGATCATGAAAGGAACTTTCAAAAGGTAACTCATGTAAACACCTTAATCATATTATTGTCTTATTCAGATAAAGGCAAATAATTTGATTACTCAAGTCCATGTAAACTTAGTCACCATTAGCAGAGATCATTTTGGTCGTTTCGTGCAGACCTTCTGTTGCTCACCTGACATATGTCAAACAGTAGATCCACTAACAGAACAATGTGCTCCAGGTGGTCAACTGCTGTCCTGCATGAAACCTGAACAATAGCACACGAAGATGACACTATTGCTTAGTCAGTGAAACCCAACACTCATCCCCCGTCCTGCAATAATGCAAGCCTAACATCCAACAGCTTTCAGTTTCTCTTAAACTTTATACCCTTTCGTTATTAGAAAACACTTTTCTTTTGTATGCTAATGGATCATAATGTTTTCAAAGTCAACTCCAGGGCTGGTAAATATGTTTAGAGAAGATCATTTAAGTGCATTCTTTCCCTGTGTGTGGTCTATAGATTTAGGCTAGGCCTTACCTAGTTTACTTTGCATGACTGCTGATGACCTGGTTTCATTTCTTACGGCTTTTACACACAGGAAGCTTAATATTGAGGTGTTTCTGCAATAATTGTGTCACACTTATAAAATTAGCTGTTACGTTACACATAAAGGTTAATTGTGTTTTATGAAACGAGTTATTTTGCTCATGTAATATGTTATTTAAGAGCTCTCTCTCACACACACACACACACATTGAGCGAACACAGTCTGTCACGCTGGCCGGTTGCTGATCTGAATGTCATTCTGGCGACACGCAGGGCCTGCATGGAAATAAGCCAAATGGGACGTTTGTTGCACAACAAGTGGGCCATGTAAACTCAGTCAAACCGCTGGCTTATGGTCACCATGACACTTGGCCTGTGTGCACTTTATTGATCCACTTTCAGCAGCCATTCAAATTTCACAGGCACGAATGGGTAAAAAAAAACAGAATCCATACTTAGTCAAAGTCCAATTTTAGGTGGTTTCTTTTAATGACAAATGCACAATAAGAGGATCTTCTTGTTTTAGTTAGTGAGTAATATTATGTTGCTCACATTGTTTTTCTGCACACTGTGCTTTCTTTTGTACTCGTTAGCAAAATTCCTTCAAACTTGCTTGTAATGCAGATCAAAAGGGTTTGCTAAGTGCTGTAAATATATTATCAATAAATAAGCACATAAAGCAATCCACATAATTCAGGTTTATTTATATATAATTATATTTTGTTTAATGAATATTTAATATAACTGTTCGTTTTTGGAATTGGAATGTCTTTATTGTCTCTGAAGGGCAATTAGGTTTACAGCAATAGCCGACAGTTTAAAGCAACACGTCACGCTCGAAAACATAGATGTAGCAGTAAACAATAAAATAATCATAGTCAAGTAAAAATAAATTGATTAATTTTATTAAATAAATGAAAAATTCTACATCAACAATAAATTATTACAATTACAAATAAACATAACATTGATTTATTATTAATAATGCAAATGTGCATAACTTACAAATATTAATAATAGTCTCATAAAGATAGATAGAAATATTTCAAATAAATCAATTAAAATAGTATTAATATCTATATAATAATAACATAATACTTTGTGATAAGAAATTATAATAATTAATGAAATGTAATTTATTTAATGGTTATTATTATTATTATTATTATTATCATCATTATTATTATCTATTCTATATTTATGTATATGTGATACAAATGCATACATAAAAATAAAACTATGCAAAACGTTTTTGCCATATAGATATTTTAATATATATTTAATTTGTATATTTATTTAACTTATACATTTTATATCTAAATATAAATATAAAGCATTTTTGTTTTCAAATATATGCATGCATGTGTGTTAACATATACAAAATAAATATACATCGTGCACACATATATTTTGTAAAAAAAACTTTATTTTAGATGCGATTAATCTTTGCCCAGCAATAATTATTATGCAATTTTATATTAATATTATCACTATTATTATTTGTTTTAGTTCTGTTTTTTTACAATAACCTGCAAAGTTTTCATCACATCAGAAAACCTCTTTGAAATTTAAATGCAAAAAGTAACATTTCTGAGAGACCACTGCACATGTTAGAGTTGAAAAGACATGACCAGTCATGCAAACTCATTGTTATTTGTATTGCTTGAAGGCTCAAACTAAAATAACAGACTATTGATATAAGCTTTGAGTAATTGTAGGCTTTGTATAATGAGTCAGTGTGACTCACTGGCATCAGTTGTGAGTCCTGCCAGGGCTCATGTCCTCATCTACACAATGAAGAGTCGTGCACTGCCCGTCATATGGCATGTGTCTGGGTGTTTCTTGCTTCTCATTAATAGTAAATGCTTAACTCCTGTCTCTTTCTGCAGGAGATTTCAGGATGCGTCTATCTTGTCATGGAGGTGAGTCTGCATGTCTCACACACCCATTAAAAACCTGTAAATAGACTTGGTGTGAAGTAGAAGGGAAAAAAGCAGAGGTCAAATTCTACCTTGTCTTGCTGAATGTCCTTTACACTAAGCTTAATTCACACAAGTCTGTTATTATTGTCAGCATAAAGGCATTTGAAGCACTGGTGTTATTGTGATTACTCTTTATTTGATGTGTGGTATTGTTTTGTGTTGACTGCACACTTACTGTGTTTTTTTTTTTTGTCTCACAGTATTGCAATGGAGGTGACTTAGCAGAGTATTTACACTGTAAGTACACCAGCCTTACTTAAATTTGGCATTTGTCTTTCACTATTGTTACCAATTAGGCAGTTGTCATTACAAATTAGTGAGCATTAGTGTTAATACAATATGCTATTTAAAGGTGCTGTAAGTAAGTTTTGTCTCCTTTAAAGCATAAAAGTACCATAATAGGCAATGTAGTGGTGCAGTGGGTAGTGCTGTCGCCTCACAGCAAGAAGGTCGCTGGTTCGAGCCTCGGCCGGGTCAGTTAGTGTTTCTGTGTGGAGTTTGCATGTTCTCACTTAATTCGCGTGGGTTTCCTCTGGGTTCTCCGGTTTCCCCTACTGTCCAAAGACATGCAGTAAAGGGTTAATTGGGTAGGCTTAATTGTCCGTAGTGTATAAGTGTGAATGAGTGTGTATGAATGTTTCCCAGAGATCGGTTGCAGCTGGAAGGGCATCCGCAGTGTAAAACGTGTGCTGGATAAGTTGGCGGTTCATTTTATTGTGGCGACCCCACATTAATAAAGGGACTAAGCCAAAAAGAAAATGATGATAAGTGAATACCATAATATGTTTGTAGATATTTAAGAAACATGGTAAGTAAGTAAACACTCTTGTTTATCTGAAAAACAATGCTGAAGTCAATGTCTGTCTGAATGTCTGTCTTTGTTTTGGTCATTTAATCATATTGATGCCAGTTTAGCCAATTATATTTCAGCATCCCCAGGGTGCCTTGGCATGATTCATTCAGTCAGAAAGGCTCTCAAAGCATGCTCACATGACAAAAATGCCACATGAGTTGGTTATTAATTAGCAAATAATATAAATATTACAAATGTAAACATTAAGTGAGCTGGTTACATTGTAACCCCATGTCCTAACAACTCGCTATGTGATGAGTGCAATGAGGAGTGCAATACCTAGTTCAACCAATGGGTGTCAAATTTACATACAGCACCTTTAACTCACTTGGTGTATTCAGCATACAATAAATTAGAATTCAAAATTAAATCTGTTATACAAAGTGTCCATTTTTATTTGGTGAATGCTATTATATAGGGATTCAGACAGCGTAAATATGATTTCCTTTGGGGTAAATGAAGTATATTTTCATGTGAATGTCATTGTGCAGGCACATAATGTGCTTCAACCTAGAGATACGGCAACACAGAGCAGATCATGCACGGACCAAAAAATCATATCATACCCATTTAAAACATTAAGTAGATTGAACATAAAAAAAAAAAAGTTTTCCAGAGAAATTTCCAGAATTATGTTGTTTCAGCTCATTTTAATCAAATAGTTTGATCAAACAGCAAAATTAATTTTTTGAATGTAGTTTTGGTGAATTATAGGGGTAGATTCTACATTCCTCTCCCTTTTTGTAAAATTTAGCTCGGGATGATCCTTTTTTTATTTTTCTTAATGTTTACCTGTATATACATACTTTTTTATGCATTCATTCATTTGTTTCATAAGTAAATGTTTGTATAATAAAGATTGATTTTCTAAATTAAAGACCCAGGTCTATTTCTTCGAGGGCTTGAAACCTTGAACTTGTTTTTGATTTTGTCTCGTTCTTAACACTGCATCTTTCCTCAGAATGATAATTCAGGACCTCTGAGAATAGCTCAGTTTCACACATGTCCTCCCACAAATAGGACCTCTTTGGAATCGCTCTCATCCACATCTTCATCTAACCATAAAATTTCCAGCATGACTATATTTATCATGTTTGCGTAGGCCGCTCTATTTTAAGTCATCAGACTTGTAGCGTTGTCCTGCTTCATGTCCCATTCCAACCTCGTCAGGGGTCATGTTTGCCTTCACCCGCTCACCTCTTAACACAAAATCACTGGCACAACACCAAGATCCCCTGCTGAAACCCAAACCCCAGCCTGACCTCATCCACCTGTCGGGCAGCTATCTGCCCTGTCCCGCAGTGGAAAAACATGGGCGCTAAAAATAAGACTTCATGAAACCAGCGTGTTTTTAGAGGAAGGAAAGAGATGACCTGAGAGAAGGGGATTTTTGGAGGTGGACACCAGTTGTTTTGATGATGATTAACTTTCTGTAAACAATGACTTAATGTCCCACAATTCAAAATAGCCATGTTTTCATCCACTTGTTTTTATATGCATTTTGGAATATTAGATGAAAATGCTTAATGGAAATACCAAGATGCACATACATTTTAAACATATATACACAACTGAACACGATAAACTTTTCATCCCATGAGAAAAAAAAAAAAACTACAATGGAAACACATGTACTAAATAAATTCCAGCAAGCACATCAAAATTTGTCATATGTTTTTGTTTTAACAGATAATGTAACATCTGAAATTTTATTTTGGTCATTCTAAAATGACAGTCACAGTTCTTCAATATTATTACCTCCCAAAGAGTCGTCTCGCTCTTCCAAAAGCCATTTTGCATCCATTGTATGTCATATTCATCTTCTAAGATGCTATTCATTTATTATACTAAATAAGAAAAAGACCCGCAGTGGCTTCTCATAAGGGAACACGTTCTATTTTTCCTATTTGATATTTAGTGCCAGTTTGCCAGGAAGTTATGATTTTGTTCTCTTTGACTCATTGGATAAAATTTAAGCTCTTTTCGCAAATAATTTATTCAATATTCCAGTTTTGCTCATAAGTCAAAAGTAAATTTTCCCAAAATTTAACCCAAACTTTTTTCGTTCTTCTATTGAACACAAAATAAGATATTTTGAAGAATGTTGGAAACCAGCAGCCATTCTCTTTCATAGTACTTTATTTCTACTTTAACATTCTATAAAGAAGGGCATTGTTATCAGCATCGTTATCGCAGTGTGTTCATTTGTGATTATACGCAATGTTGAGTCTGGATTTTAATTACAATATGTCAATATATTTCTGAATTATATATCATTTCACAAGTTTTTTTTTTTGAGGCCTGTGACTTTGTGAGGGTTTTAAAAGCATCCAGGCATAAGACATTGTACCTTTGACAAATTAATAGCGATTAATGTTATTGAAATGTTTATAAAATGAAGACTATGCTTTCTTATTTTACATTTGACTTATTTTACACAATATAGTTTGACTCCTTGGAAAACAATAAAATGCTGTTTATTTAATAAGTATTTTTTCTTTACTAAATTTATGTGTGTTTGTAGATTGTTTCTTATATTTTATGCTTATAGACTCTTCTACAGAATCATGCCATCTAAATTGATAAATTCTTTCCAAATAGTTATTCAACACATCTAGTGAATAAAAAATATCAGTGTTAGATTTTTCCGATATTCCGATACTACAAAATAAGTTTTTTTGTTTACAACAAATAGCAATAACCACTTGGGAGCGTATATATTTGTGTATTTATTTGAGCTGTCTCTATAAAGGAATATTAATTCTCTTTCACCTGCACTGGCTTCCTGTTCACTATCGTATACAATACAAAATCCTCCTCTTAACATACAAAGCTCTTCATAACCTGGCCCCTCACTCTCTTTCTGATCTTCTTCAATTGTACACTCCTTTACGCTCACTGAGATCATCTTCTGCTGAACTGTTATCTGTCCCACACTTTAAGATGAAGTCATTTGGAGGCAGGGCTTTTAGTTGTACAGCACCAAAGTTATGGAATTCCCTGCCTTTGCACATTCGCCAGATGGACTCTATTTCCAATTTTAAATCTCAGATAAAGACGTTTTTGTTTAGGATAGCTTTTAATGATTTGCTGGTTTATTTTATGCTCATTATGCTTGTCATTTTTACTGCTTGTATTTTTATGATGTACTTGTAATCTGTTGTAAGGTGTCCTTGAGTGCTTTGAAAGGCGCCTAAAAATAAAAGGTATTATTGTTATTATTATTAATAATAATGCACCCAAAAATGAAACCCTGTCATCATCTACTTTCCTTTGCCTTATTCCAGTTGCTTGCTTCTGTTGTTCTGTAGAATGCTGCAAACCATTAGCGATTTGACTTCCGTTGTATTCTTATGGATGCCACATTGAATGTCAGTGGCTGTCTATTTCCAACATTCTTCAAAATGTCTTTTGTGTTTAACAGTTTAAAATGAAACTCAAAAGTTTCCAACCGCTTGAGGTTGAATAAATTATGAGTATTTTCTTTTTTGGGACCCATTTAAGTTGTAAAATGTACTGAAAAATGTTGTGTTTCTCCATAGCAAAAGGCTGTCTGAGTGAGGACACCATCCGTGTGTTACTGCAGCAGCTGGCAGGAGCTATGAGTGTTTTAAGGAGTAAAGGCATCATTCATCGAGACCTGAAGCCCCAAAACATCCTTCTCTCATACAGCACAGGTCGCAAATCCAATCCCAACAACATCTGCATTAAACTGGGTGAGTGCTTCAGGTCAAAGTACACTGTACAGGAAACGCAGATTGGTTATGGATCAGTGTGTGCTGATTATGAGATTATGAGTTATCAGGTCTGGCACCAGTTGGCTGTGGTGTTTTTGTTCTTGTGTTTTGATTGTGGTTTGCTTTAGGTGTTTGTTATGTTTGCTCTTGGGTGTTATGTGGACACTGTGTGCTACTACACAGCTGTGTAAAGTCAAACAGCTAGGAGACACTTGGTGTAAACATTTCACTTATGAAACAAGCCTCCAGACCTTATCATATACACTCATTTTTATTTCTCTATCACTCTCTCAAATTCAATTCAGTTCAATTCAAAAGGGCTTTATTGCCATGACTTGTCAAGTATTGCCAAAGCGTTGCAGATTACATAAACAATAAATAAAACCAGTGATTATATAACACATATACACCACCTGACAAAAGCCTTGTCGTCGATGCCAGTTCTAAGAGCAACAAATAACAACTTGACTTCTAGTTGATCATTTGGAAAAGTGGCAGAAGGTAGATTTTTCGGATGAATCATCTGTTTAACTGCATCCCAATCATCACAAATACTGCAGAAGACCTTTTGGATTTATGGACTCAAGATTCTCCCAGTTATTAGTCAAGTATGGTGGAAGAAATATCATGGTTTGGGGTTACATTCAGTATGGGGGCGTGTGAGAGATTTGCAGAGTGGATAACAACATCAACAGCCTGAGGTATCAAGACATTTGTGCTGCCTATTACATTATAAACCACAGGAGAGGACAAATTCTTCAGCAGGATAGCGCTCCTCACACTTCAGCCTCCACATCAAAGTTCCTGAAAGCAAAGAAGGTCAAGGTGCTCTAGGATTGGCCAGCCTAGTCACCAGACATGTATTGGGTAAAATGAAGGAGGAGGCATTGAAGATGAATACAAAGAATCTTGATGAACTCTAGGAGCCCTGCAAGAACGCTTTCTTTGTCTTTGTAGATGATTTTATTTATAAGTTATTTGAGTCATTGCAGAGATGTATGGATGCATTCATCCAAGCTCATGGGACTCATACAATATTACAATAAGCACACAAAGTCACACAATATTAATCCTTTTTCCACTGCACCATGACTTTATATTATTTCTGTCGTGTGACAAGACTTTTGTCTAAGCAAAATCAGACCTTACTGTCCTAATTAAATAATTAGAATATAAGGCATGGTCATATTTTATTTAGGTAAAATAGGCATAATCTAGAGGCACTTGCCTTTCATATAAGCCCCCTCTGATACCAAATGATCAACTAGATGCATTAAAAAAATCATGAAATAAAAAGTAAAAAAAAAAAAGAAATAAAATATACCCAACTGTACAGTTATTCAGATGATTTGTTATAATGTTTCAGACTAGTTTTGTCCACTGGCTGACTCTGTGTTTGTGATACATAATAAATACATCTCTTTCTCTCTCTCTATCTCTCTCTCTCTCTCTAACTCTCTTTAGCTGATTTTGGCTTTGCACGGTATCTGCAGGGAAACACAATGGCTGCCACACTATGTGGATCTCCAATGTATATGGTGAGTGCTCGACTTCAAAACTTCCATGTTCTGTATCATCTAATTGTTCAGGGAAGTAGAACTGCACAATTTGAAGGGGGAAACAACAGCAACAATTGGTTGTTTTTAAGGCCTAACAATCTGGGTTGCTTGAAAAATGATAGTTGTCTGGTAAAATATGCTACTGTTGGGCTAAATCATGTTAAAAACATGCTAGCAGCCTTATAAAACATGTCAGTGTTTTGCTAAATTATGCTAGAAATGTGGATGTAAAATAAAAATTAGAAACGTGATGTTTAAATCATTGTTTTAATACAAATTTAATTTTAAAGTTTAAAAATAAAATGCAGTTAAAGGTAATTTAAAAATGAGTATTTAATGAAATTATATATTTTATAATACATACATTAAATTGCAATACTAATATTTATGGGTCTCTTCAGGTTTAATTTTTTTTATCATGGACTAGATTTTATTTTTGTCAGAAACCCACAGGGAGACCTTTTAGCTTCTTTTTTTTCTACAACAGGAAGTTCATAATAGCATCTAATTACAAGTAGAAAGATGTTAATACATTGAACCTAAAATGCTGAGAAAACAACACATCATGAGCTGCTCGCTATACTTAGTGTCATAGTTGATGCTGGACTGCATTTAAGCTGCAACACCAGACCTGTCACTTAAACAATGTGTCACCACCAAAACTGTCATTTTCTAGGAATTAAAATAATGTAGTTCTGTTAGAGAAAATGCAATAAAGTTAAATAAACTCAACGCATTGTATCCTAGATCAGCAGCAGTATTCAATTCCTCAGTAAGTCAAGCTGAATGACGATGCGCCATTTCATATGACACACAGGAAGCTTTCTAGAATTATTTTGTGCAGTTGGCACAGAACTCACATCATGGTTTCAGAGCACACATCACCAAAGCTACAATAAACAAGGCCACATTTGTATTTGCTAAAATCTAAATAGAACCCATGTAAAATTACCTTAAGACTGTTGTTAAGAAGAGCAAAAGGATGATTAAGGAAGGGGAAATCCCACCAAGCTGCAGCCCAAAAGGAAGGGGAAAAACCTAGCATTTTTGTGAAATTGCTGATAATATAGAGTACCAATAGAAATCATTACACCCTTTGGAAAATCTATACTGTTACGCACATTACACCCTGCTTTCAGGAGACAATTGTAGAAAGACACAGGTTAGGAGAAGGCTGCAAAAGCACTTCAAAGGCTGGAATGGTTATTTGGAATGTGATTTGATTTTAGGCTGTTTGACAAAAAAGTCATTATTTCAAAGGGGTGTGATGATTTTCTGTAGGCACTCGCTATAGTGAGTTTGTCATTTTACGATTTTCTTGTTGTCAATACAAGCAATTAATGCTCAATTGTCACTAATTTGAAAGTGATTAAGTAGAGCACAGTATTTAAAAGCACCCTGCTTCCATGATACCGGTATTACATCTGCTGTCACACTTCAATTAACCAGTAGAAATATAATGTCAACACAACCCTACTTCTTGAATATAAAGTTATTCATTTATTCATTTTCTTTTTGGCTTAGTCCCTTTAATAATCCGGGGTCGTCACAGCGGAATAAAACACCAACTTATCCCGCATATTTTTTTACGCAGTGGATGCCCTTCCAGCCACAACCCATCACTGGGAAACATCCATACACGCATTCACACACACTCGTACACTATGGTCAATTTTAGCATACACAATTCACCTATACCGCATGTCTTTGGACTGTGGGGGAAACTGGAGCAGCGTGTGGGAGGAAACCCACACGAACACGGGAGAACATGCAAACTCCACACAGAAATGCCAACTGACCCAGCCGAGGCTCGAACCAGCGACCTTCTTGCTGTGAGGCGAACGTGCTAGCCACTCTGCCACCACGTCGCCGAATATAGAGTTAATAAAATAAAAAATTGATACAAACACATGGTTGCACTTAAACCTAAATTATATACCATGTATGTAAGCCATATTGCAGTTCCGCTTTAATTTCAGATGTAGTTTTTATAAATGTACTGCTTTACCCAACTAGTTTAAATAAATTAAAGGCGCTATATGTAAGAATTAATTAAAATATCAAAAAACCATTAAAACAGTGTTATGTTCTGACTTATGTACTTACAATATTACAAATGTTTTGAAGAATGTTCAAATGCGATTTTAACCATTGACACTGACCGTGATAATAGCCCCTTTCACACATACAAACCTTTATTGTTGTATGTGTGAACAGGTCCTTTTTGAAAATACCGATAAATTCGTTCTAGCTATTTTCCGGAAAGAGAAGTTGTAACATTACCGGTAATTTGCCGGAATGCTGCGCTGTGTATACGCAGAAGGAAGATTTCCGGAATAAGCGCGTGCACGTCTAGAACGTGCTGACGTGAGACGTCTGATTTAGCCAATCACAACAGTCAGACGCATTTACGTCTGCGCGGTTTGTGAGAATAAAAGCCTTTGAATATTTTTCCAGACACATTTAGCTAGAAGTTAGTCAGATCACGTTTATATGTTCTTCTTAATGCCAACTGTGTAAATAATCATCGATGAGATGCTTATGATAAGCCGTTGTTTGTTTACCTTCAAGCTTTGCGTGTGCCTGTGAAACAGCCTGTGAGCGCCTGCACACGCACATATTATGAACATCTCGACATGCGAAAGTGATCCTGCGAAAGTTGTTCACAATATTGATCATCCACAGAGTTTGTAATTTAGTCAAATGTTTACAAATACAAGCGCAGCCATTTAAAGCTCATTTGTGGTGAATGATGTCAGAATTTACCGGTATTTTGGAATGGATGTGTGAATGCTCTTTTCCGGAAAATTTTCCATAACGTCCTCGCCTGTGTGAACAGCGCTTTTTTGAATATACCGGTAATGTCGTTCCGGAACTTTTCCAGATATTTACCGGTATCACTGTGTGAAAGGGGCTATAGACATCATACACCCTAAATTTCTGGTTTGGTTTTAAAGAAAATAGGGCAACCCAAAAGATCCTTTAATACGTTTTACATTTTAGTGGACTGCGCAGAGGAGCAATATAACATAAACCTAAAATTAATTTAGTATGATAAAACCATGCTGCTTAATCCCGGCTTGATCCCAACTAGAAGAACCTGAAGTGGCTCATTTATGAACATGATTTCGGCATCAGCGTTTTTTATGTAATGGAGGCAAGAGCCTCCATGATTTCACACCTTTGTTTGTTGTGAATAACACCATCAAGTGGTGAAAATTACATACTGTTCGATTGAGAATGAGATATTCAGACTTTCTCTGTTACTCCACATATTTTGAGTGATTAGAACAAATTAAATAGGAGTGCTGCTTATCTTGCTCATCTTCACAGGCTCCAGAGGTCATCATGTCTCATAATTATGATGCCAAAGCTGATCTGTGGAGTGTGGGGACCATCATCTACCAGTGCTTGACTGGCAAAGCCCCATTTCAGGTCTGTGACATAAACACACCAGCATTTGACTGATAGTATTAAAAAAATAACATTTAACCTTAAGCATGCACATTCAAATCTCTCTGTGCTTTTTTGTGGTTGTTTCTGCGTCCATGGATTTTAAATGTTGTGCTTTACATTCTTAGGCATACTCATTGAACTTCTGATGATACATTTAAAGAGAAACTTCTCTAGAAATTACAATCCTCTTATCATTTACTCACCTTCATCTTAGGAACAGACCAAAGTTGTTTACTGAAAAATGTTCATCAACAAAGAAAATGTTACAGATTAAAATGGCATAGCCTTGAGTAAATCATAGATCAGATGTACATTTAGGTGAACCTAACATATATAATACACCTAAACATGATTTTAACATAAACTTTTTTACTTTTGCTATAAAAGAAAGTATGTCAATTCAATAAATTAAGTATGACAGATTCAATACGAGCTGTTGTTTCATAAATAGTCATTGAACTAGTTTAAGATATTTGAGTCAAAATCAGTTGGCATAAGCACACAAAGGAATGCACATTCAGCTTGCTTTTTTAAACTGCATGTTTTTCGATAACATAAAACAAAACAGAAATTGTGAAGTTTCATATTTAATATTTCAAATATTAATAGTTTAATTTAAATTAGTCAGTTTCCATCAATCCATTCTTCCATCCATCCAGTCGGCAATGTCTTGTGATCCTTTACAATCAAATATGCTAATTTGGTGCTCAAGAAATATTTATTGATATTATAAATGCCCCTAAAACATTCATGTCTGGTTTGTTCAAAAGAACAACATTTATTTGAAATAGTTTTTATAACAATTTAAAAGTTTATTGTCACTTTAGATTTTTTAAGGCACTTTTGAAATCTAATATATAGTATAATTATCAAGACAACATTGCAAAATGCTCCACAGCGTTAGAGTTCTCACCGCTTCAGTCCTGATCATTCTAGAACTATTTAATTGCGAAAGTGCTACTGGCTGGCACTAGTTATTTATGCCCTGCAGAGTGTGGAACATGATTATGACACCTCACTGATAAACATAACCGCATGTTTCCCTGCAGCTAAACACACCCTCTGATTTACTAACAAACTCTGACATCCAAACATATGCATATGCCTGATCACATGACTACTATCTCTCTGGTTGCTCCATCAGAACGAGGGGTTCTTCTTTTTCTGTGTAATGATCATATTACGAAATCTGCATGTTCATGTAGTTGCTGCAATACTTCCGCCGTCCGTTGGCTGTTATACATGGTTGTTTACAGACTATTTATTAACTATTAAGGCTTAATCCTAAGACACATACCATCATCCATTATAAGGATAACTAGCAGGTTAGCAGGGCTGATTTGTGGGTGAAGTATACACCCCATTGACCTCTGATTGTAAAGCTTCCAAAGTAATATGTGAACCCGATCTGACCCAGAGACATAACTCTTGTTACGGACTCATATTTTTAGCCTTTAGAAAGGGGTGGTCATTTATTAGGTATTCTTGACGCTCTTGTAATGCAATGTCAGTCTACAGATGGGGTAGAATGGGTTGTTGGGTTCATATAAAAGAGAGATCTGCAGTTTTTTTTCCAAGCTGTTGTGTTCACCTCCTCCTGCATGGAAAGATTACCTTTAATGCTTGTCCCTAAAGCCATTACAAAGCCTTTATGATTTGTAAAAACAGGCTCTCTTGTGAATTTTAACTTCTGACCTGGAACAATTGTTTACATTCAAAACATTTCAAGTTTACAGAGATTAAGTAATTATTGCTGTTAGCTTAGGTATTCAAGGTAATGGCTACCAGCATTTTGGGAATCAAAAAGGCACATACAAAATTAGTTCCGAAGCTTGATGATTGAGCTCTTATGAAGTGAAATAATCAGTCTGAGAA